ATACTATTCATTTTTAGTGAATGTGATGACGAAACCTACCAGAAAAAAATAAAAATAAAAATAAATAAAGTTCACTGTAACTCTTTCTCTTGGTCCCAAATTTAAGCAAGAGAAAAACTCTTTTTTTATAAAAAAAAAAACTCTTTCTTTTGGTAAACATGACGAGAGACGATGCTCGACGGCAACAATAAGATGACCAGATTACTGAATAATACTGGATATATTAGAATATTATGAAATCAACTTGAATATTATAAAAAAAATATCTAGAACACATATTTTCCCCGAATTAATAAAAATTTAGGGGAATCTCAATAAAGAAGATTGACGCTACATAATTTATTATGAAATGGTTTTTAACAATAGTACATTACATATTGTCAAATGAAAAATAATATAAAAAGACTTTGAGTCTACGAACAATAATTTTAGAGCACCGTACCAACCAATCGTCGGGAGAAGGTTAATCTCGTAGATCGTCCATGGATTATTTTAAATTTATATTAGTTTATGTATCCATGTTTGTTTATTAAAGAATTGTCCGTGAAAAGGATGTATATACATCCGCATATAAATAAATTATGCAGATATGATGATAACTTTTTGAATGAACTTTTTACACTTTAAGTTTGTGATAATGTTGAATTCACTACAAATCTTTGATTTTTTTTTAATTAACCACGCGGTAGTGGGCTAGTGGTCTCCAGTTGAGTTAAGCGCAATCGTTTGGTTGAAGCGTTCATGGTTTCGACTCGTCCATAAACCTGCGTGGCCAAGGAGTACTTTACGCTATTTAAAGATATCAGCAAAGGTTAGCTCTAAGTCAGTGGTGACTACGGGTCTACGAATTACGGAACTCCTCTATTAAAAAAATTGTGTTAGATTACCGGAAAAAGAAAAATAAATTGAATTACGATTTCATAGTTCTTGGTATTTAAAAAAAACTGTAGACATGAATTGTATTTATTTTAATAACTTAATCTGAATTCTTACCAAAAAAAAAAAAATCTTACCAAAAAAAATAACTTAATCTGAATTGTACGTTGCCAATCAATCAAAATGTCCAGCAATCACATTAAGTTTTAGAAGCTATACGAATAGTTTAATGCATGTAGGTTGCATGAAACTTTGTCCGAGGTCTGTTATCTATTTAAAAGAAAACATTTTAATCAAAAAACTCCAAAAAATGCTATAGAAACTGGTGGAAACACAATTCATAAAAAACTTAATTTGTTTGTTTTCGTTTTGTTTTGTTTTGAAGACACGATGAAAAACATATATACTTAAAATAATACAAAAGTGTAAAGAAATATGAAGGCTTAGTGTATTGAATCTGTAAATTGATTTGGTTTTTAATGAGTATTTAAATGATTGTTGGAGCATTTGAGTGATTTTTGTAAAACAACTCTAGAATCTCATATAAAACTATGAGATTTGGATTTTTATTTTTCTAACTAACAAATTCCTAACACTCTAAAAAATACTTAAAATACTCTAAAAGCTCCAACTTAAATTTTGTTCAAAAATAGTGGATTTCAGAAATGTTTTATAACATGAAAAATTCAGTAACATTAGAATTTTAAACATGTTTTAAAATTCACGTTTGAATAATAGTGGATTTATGGTTTGACCAAAAAAAAAGAATAATAGTGGATTTATCAATTTAATACAAATCACTTCAAATTTCTAGTTGAATACACCCCTGTTAGATTATAAATTTGTGGAATATAACCATTTAAAATGGTTCCTTCCCTTAACTTCAAAAATTATTTTACCACTTAAATGGAATGATGATTCCATCAGTTCCACAACAATATAAACAAAATACAATAGAAAAAAGTTACATGTTTTTCTATAATGTTGATATGGAAGGAATGAAATGAATTTATTTCATTCTTTTACGTATTTCATCCATGTTGTACTATCCATTTTTATTCCATAACTTCATTTTATGTTTAAAATTTGCAGTCATATTTATCTATTAGTTTTGTAACTTAACTAAACGATAATTTCTATTTGCCAACTTATTATATAAGCTAGAAAAGTGCTACTTAGTAAAATGGTCCTAATCATATGTGAGATGTGAGAGTAGCACTCAAATACAATTATTTATATATATATATATATATATTGATGTACAGTAGTGTTTCTTGTATTTGATCAAGGTCTAACGATCCAAGTATATATTACACACTAATTTTAACCTAATTAATATCATAAGATATGTACATGGATAAAATAGGGTGATTTTTAACATTGCAATATTGTCATATATTCTCAATAGTTACGTTTATTTACAAAAGAGAAAGATAGTTTACTAGACATCAAAGAAAGTGTTTAGATACAATATGGTGATGGAAAGAGAACAAGACTATAAATGTAAGAAATCCTAAATATATCTCTAACTCAACTCTAATTTGACTAGACCCGTAAGCTTAGGCATAAACAGAAAACCTAATCTAAAAATTTGGTCTATAAATGAATTATCCATGTACTTCTACATGAGGGCTCTTTACTACGAAAATCACTTATGTAGGAAATTCCTTGCATGTATACAAAAGCTATCGTTAAATTTTCACAATATTGCAATGAATTAAAAAAGTTGCAAATCTCTAGCAAGTATAAGATAGTCTGGGATAATATTAGCTGTGGTGATAAACTTTTTCACAAGTTTATTGTATGTTTTGCGACGGATTTACTACAGATCTATTATAGCTTCATTCTTTTGCAAATTTAAGATGTAACTAGATTTTTACCCGCGCTTGAAAACGCGAAATTTTTTTATGATTAAAAATTTATATAATTCGGTTTTGTCTTAGTTTTAAGAATATTTTGATATAAAATCAGTTCACCAAAATTTGTGGTGATGATTATTTTTCATTAGTTTTTAGTTTCAGTTTTTTTTTTAGATTTTGGTTTTTGGTTTTTAGTTTTTAAGTTTCTACTTTTCATTTTCAATTTTTGGTTTGGGTTTTTAATTTTTAAACCTGCTGAATTAGTTTGAACTAATATTATCAACAAACAAATCTCAAATAATCGAACATCTAATTCAAAACTAAAAAGATGACAACAAATTTTTAAAAAAAAATTGAAATAGTTTATTTTGTAAATAAACAAAGAAAAAAAATATAACATGTGTTTTCAGCTTTTGGTTTTGGATTTTAGTTTTTAGATTTGGTTTTTGATTTTGCTTTACATTTTTTAATCAGTAAATTATTTAAGAAAAATAAAACAATAAATTATATAAAAGTTACCATTGAAATTTATCAAAACAAAGTGATTGTTATTTAGAATAAAAAATATATTAACATGTTTTAAAGTACATGATTTAAATAAATGATTAATAATAGATAATTTTGTTTTGTTAAAAATATTAAATACCTTTTGGGTCTGAAAATAATAATTGATTTTTTGATCTTTTAAGGTGAAAAGTTTGTTCAATGTTTTTTTATAGTTTTTTTCTCAATACTAACCTCAAAAACCAAACTATATAATTTGTTCAAAAAATAAAAATAAGCCGAAGACTATATTCCATAAATAACCATTGGTTTAATTTAAGTATAATTAATAGATTTCCATATTTTGATGATATATATTCTTTTAAAACATTCCATATTTGTAGGAGAAAATATGTGTTTTCTGTATACACATAGATACCTGCCATATTTTGAAGGTACTTTACATTAAGGTCGTCTCTTTACATTAATTGTGTTGGTTTAGTTTAAGTAATACAGGTCAATCAATTATATAACTTATATTATTTATAACATTCTAGAAATGGTCCAAATTTAAATGACAACTTATATCAGTAGATAAAAAGAATGACTCTGTTTTAATATAGTAGATTCCATAGGAATTCCTCCATCACAAATGGCATGTTTTACGAGGATAGACGAAGACATATCAACACACCAAACTATACAAACTTACTAATATATTATTTATTTACACAATACTTAATACTCTTTCCGTTTCTTAATATATGATGTTTTGGTTTGGTGCATAAAAATTAAGAAATTTACATTTTTCTAAAAAACACTTTAAAATATATAATATTATAATCATTCAACCAACTATAAAAAAAAACTGTATAATTTTATTGGTCGAATAGTTTCCAATAAAGTTAAAGTTAACCTTAAAATCTCAAAAGTTACCTTGAAACTTCAAAATATATATATTTTAAAACAACTTAAACCTTCTAAAACATCGTATAATTTGAAACGGAGGGAGTAATTATCAACTAATTTAAATGGAATTTTCATATACGAATATTGATGATTTTCTAAATTATATACTGTTTAAATTAATACGTTATGACGAAAATTCAAATAACTGTTTTATATATGTCACAACAAAGTTTGTCCAACTGGTCGAATGGAACGCAAATAGTTTATTGTTGATGTGATGTAAGCAACTCAAAACATGGGATTTTGTGTTAACGATGTTGATCCGCACAAACTTTTCATGGAAGACATTATTATATACATACTATAAAATTTGAGAAAATGTGGCTAAACGAAGATGTAAGAACAGATACAACACTAGCAAAAACTTGCATGCTTCATTATACTTCATTAGAAAATCACGGACCTGATTTTTTCCATCATGTTTCACCTTGGAAAATTACTTGTTTAGTTGACGCTACTCAGTTAAGTCCATGCTTTCCACTAAAAACAAAACATTTGTGCAAAAAACTTAAGAAGATTTGTTCAAAAAAACTAATAATTAGAAGATGCTAATAATATACTACTAGTTCATAAGAAAAGTGTTTTTAAGGTTTTAGTCAAACAAAGAACAGAATGAACCGGAATCCAGAAACGCATTCCGGTCAACGTAAACCAAATCTGGTTTAATTGATGGCTGTGAATCAGTAGACGTCATTGTCGTATTCCTCTATAGATCTCTCATCATACGTACCAAAGCCACTAAAGCCCCCAGTAATTGATAAACCAAAAAGCCTATAAATATAGCCCCCCCTGGTAAACACTAATTTCAACACTTACAAATTACAACAAACAAAAATACATAAACATACTTAAGTAATCATTACAAGCAACACTCAAGAACATGGAGGAGAAGAGCAAGAACAAGATCAGTGAAGAAGAAAAACAGCTCCACGAGAGGCCAGGACGACCAAAAGGAGGATTGATTACTATGCCGTTTATCTTCGGTATGATCCATTATGATTTTTATTTGAGCTTTTTATGTGATGAATCAGATAATCTCTAATTATTTATTATCAGCTAACGAGATATGTGAGAAACTGGCGGTGGTTGGGTTTCACGCAAACATGATAAGTTATCTAACAACACAGCTTCACCTTCCCTTAACCAAAGCAGCCAACACTCTCACTAACTTCTCTGGAACTTCGAGTCTCACTCCTCTTCTCGGTGCCTTTATCGCCGACTCCTTCGCTGGCCGCTTTTGGACCATCACTTTCGCTTCAATTATCTACCAGATCGTACGTTTTTATTTAACTTGTCCGAAAAAATTCTTGGATTTTTTTTTTTATAATAACGTGTTTAATTTTCTGTATTAAGTTATAACCAGTGACATCTTTTGTTGTTACAATGAGCTCAGCTCAGCTCAAAATTATGAACATTATAGCGAGTTTATTGTTCTAACGAGAGATGATAATTTTTTTCTTTTATAAAAATAACAGGGGATGACATTATTGACTATATCAGCAATAATACCAACGCTAAGACCACCACCATGTAAAGGAGAAGAGGTTTGTGTAGTGGCAGACACAGCACAATTGAGTATCCTGTACATAGCTCTTCTTCTTGGAGCTCTCGGGTCTGGTGGGATCCGCCCATGTGTTGTTGCTTTTGGTGCGGACCAGTTCGACGAGTCGGATCCTAAGCAAACCACCAAAACCTGGAACTACTTCAACTGGTACTCATAATAATTTATATACTTTTGCTCATATAAATATCAGTAAATAACCAGATTCCTTTCGTAGATACCTAGCCAACATGACTTTATAATACTACTATCATGTATGAGAAAAATATGAGCATGGATCCTAAGTAATTAACCATTAAAAAACATTCTTAATTATAGGTTTTTAATTAAAATATAAGTAATGCGTACATAGGAACAATCCTGAGAATTAGATGATCTAAAACGATTTTTTATCGATTTCACCTAAACATAATATTTTACTGATTTTGGGGCCGAAATTTTTTTTTTGGAGAATTTATTTATTTGTAACTTTTTTTTAAAAAAAATTGGAGATCTAAAGCCAATGTTTCATCAAACTTAACCCATTGTCTATCTTTGTGTGTACAGATGTTCAAAAAGTTCTATTCTGAACTATGAGCATGTGTGAGATGGAACTATTTTAGTTAGCTTTGTACATACTATAAGTTTGCAACTCGACAATAATTAAAAATCTTATTGATGGATTTGAATGATTAGGTACTACTTTTGCATGGGAGCAGCAAATTTAGTGGCGGTGACGGTTCTTGTGTACATCCAAGATAACGTTGGGTGGGGTCTAGGTTTGGGCATCCCGACAGTAGCTATGTTCTTATCCGTTATTGCTTTTGTCGGCGGTTTCCGGCTTTACCGTCATTTAGTTCCTTCGGGTAGTCCGTTTACCCGTTTAGTCCAAGTTGCAGTCTCGGCATTTCGCAAAAGGAAGCTGAAGATGGTTTCTGATCCTACTCTTCTCTATACCAACGATGAAATTGATGCTCCTTTCTCCTTAGGTGGTAAACTCACCCACACAAACCACATGAGGTAATAATTATATTTATATTGATGACTCTTCTTCTTCTCCAGTTTCTATATTTCTACTTATAAATGCATCATCATCCACTATTATATAGAACTTTGTAAGTCACATATAGAAACTAGAGCTACTTCTTTAAACGAAAAATTATAAAATTTATATAGTACCAACTAACACTCTATTAGGATCCACTTATTTATTTTCAGATTATGTATCCTTATGACTATATCCAGATAGTCACAAGGAAAATCTAAATATATAACTAGAAAATGATACGACCTGGGTTATAAATCAATATAATAACGTAAACAATTTACTAATCGTACAACAACTTGTCCACTGGGTGCAACCAGACAAATCAAAAGTAAAAAATACACACACACACACACACACACAAAATGAATCTTAAGTTGTAATCGGTGATGATTCACTGAAAATAAAAGCAAAAGCAAGAAGACGTGAGAATAGTTCACGCGACGACAAACACATCAAAGTTGTCATTTTTCTTGTTTTTGGCATATATTATATGCTGCAATAATTGGAGTTTTATTGGACCCAATTCAAAAATAGTAATGGTTATATAATTAAAAATAATTTGCTCAGTTTTCAAAATCTAAACACTTCGAAAATAGTAATAGTTAGATAATTTATTGCTCATTGTCACTTATTTTGCCTTGTTTAGTTTTCAAAATCTGAAACATCAATTTAAGTAAAAGTTATTGGTTTGTGCATTTTTTAAAATTTGAAAATCCAAACTTAATTTGATGTTATTCATTCTATATTAAAACACATGTTAAAATCATGTGTTATTGATTTTTATGTATAGACTAAAGTTAAACCATGTGTTATTCCAAGTTATTCGTTCTATAATTTTAAAACACGAGTTAAAATCATGCGGTGTTAATTCTATCATTTATAAATCATAAGTTAAATTATGTGTTATTCAATCAAACAGATTTTGTTAATGAATTGGATTTCACAATGGATTTGGATGAATTTATCAGTTTAAAATATAAAAACTCAATCCAAAGAAAACCTCATGATATATAAATATAAATTAAACTTTGTATGTTAGAATTGGCAATCAATCAATTGTATCTTTGTATATCTTATATATATTCCAAAATCGATTAAAATACATAAACGGATAACATCCTCTTATTATGGCACTCACATAGTTTATAGTAAATATGTGATTAATATAATATATACCAATCTACAAGTGAAAACAAAATTTTTATATAACTAACTATAAACGAAAACAAACATTCACGCATGTCAAAATCTAGTTAGTACATTACAAAAGAACCAAACCTATATTTTAGTTGTTTTAGTTGCATTTGCTTACTAATGACTACCTCTTATATTGATTACTTTAGTTTCTTGGACAAAGCAGCCATAGTGACCGAGGAAGACAATTTAAAACCAGGTCAAATCCCAAACCCATGGAGGTTAAACACAGTCCACCGAGTCGAAGAGCTTAAATCCGTGATCCGAATGGGTCCAATTGGAGCCTCTGGAATCCTCCTAATCACAGCCTATGCTCAACAAGGAACATTCTCTCTTCAACAAGCCAAAACCATGAACCGACACTTAACCAAATCATTCCAAATCCCAGCCGGTTCAATGTCAGTCTTCACAACCGTCTCAATGCTCTCCACTATCATCTTATACGACCGCTTCTTGATAAAAATAGCTAAAAATTTCACTGGTCTCGAACGAGGCATCACATTCCTCCACCGTATGGGAGTTGGTTTCTTGATCTCAATCCTCGCAACTCTTGTCGCTGGATTCATCGAGATCAAACGCAAGCACGTAGCTATCGTGCATGGACTTTTGGATAAACCACACACAATGGTTCCTATCTCGTTTCTTTGGTTGATTCCTCAATATAGTCTCCATGGAGTTGCTGAGGCTTTCATGTCAATAGGACATATGGAGTTTTTCTATGACCAAGCGCCGGAGAGTATGAGGAGTACGGCGATGGCGCTTTTTTGGGTGGCGATTTCGATAGGGAACTATGTGAGCACTTTGCTTGTGACTTTGGTTCATAAATTCAGCGCTAAACCGGATGGGAGCAATTGGTTACCGGATAACAATTTAAACCGGGGGAGACTTGAATACTTTTACTGGTTAATCACTATTTTACAAGTTGTTAATCTTGTGTATTATCTTTGGTGCGCCAAGATATACACGTATAAACCGGTTCAGGTGCATCATAGCAAGGAAGTCAATAGTCCGGTTAAAGAGGAATTACAGTTATCTAGTAAGAGTTTAGTTGATGCATAAGTCTTAGGGTGTGTGTAATGTAAATTCAATGCTAGTTGTTGTCTGCACGATCCTAGTCTTCAGTAACAATCTAGTCGATAAAATGTAAGCAAAAAATACTTGAAGCCTTGGATTGTGAGAAGGGAAAGTTCATGGGAGCTTCTGTATTCGGCTCTTAGGTAAGCTTTTGACTGCCTACTAATGTCAAGATAATCACCAGCTTGAGTAATATTTGTAGGGTGTTTCCTCTTGTGTTCACACATTACCTAATGGGCATCTGCTCAATGTGATTCTGGCTTTTAGATTATTGTCATTCGCAAGTTCTTTTTTTGGAATATAGATTTAACTTGTCATGGCATCCAGATTTCTTTTCTACACGTACGTGTGACAGTGGACATAGAGTTTTAATTCAATACATAGAGCAAGTTTCTGATGGAAAAGAGAGTACGTACGTTACGTAATAGCATTACCTCGCTAGGGTTTTAGACTTTTAGTTAAACGTTGGGTTGTTTTATTAGAATTAGTTATTTTCTTCATTTCTCTTTAGCATAGAGATGATATTTGTTTTCTTTTTGGTGTGGTGGGATTTTCTTTTCATGCAACCGATGTATTATCAAATAAAGCTTTTTTTTTTTTTACCTTAAACTTTACTTATTTTTTTGCTAAATTTACCTTACATTTTACTTCATTGCCTATATATACTATTTTCTAACTTGTGTTGAATTGCATTAGAGGATCAGGATTGCATAGCTTCTCACCAAAGTATTTATAATATATAATATCATTTATCATTGTAACTAAACTATAAATTAAAAATTAAACTAATGATGTAAAGACATCTTGCTTAAGACTTTCTAAAATCTTGTTTAAGGTTCTCAAACCAGAATCCTCTCTCAAATTATCTTTTACTTTTCTCTACTTAATTCATTACTATATGGTCGAGATACTCTTCTACCCAGGATGATGATGTTCTTAGCTAATGTTAGGGTCATATAGTAATGGCTACCGGATAGTTGGTTTGTGAATTTGATTTGATTTCTCCGAAGTTGCAGGACACATGATTACATTAATAGTACGTAAGTTAATTCTGTCACTGTCGATGTCCCCATAACGGTTTTGTTTTGTGCAACATCCAAATGGGACCAGTATATGAAATGGTTGCAAGTCATAACGTTAGCTGGTAACAATTGATGTCTCGTGAAAATTGGGACCATTACGTGAAAGCATTCCTTATTTTCGTTTTGCTGTAATTCATTTGAGAGTTTACAGTCTGTGCAAGTACGCATGAGGGTTTGCTTCGTTCGGGTATTTCGGTTTGAGTGACTCAGTTTGTCCAAAATATTACCGAACTGAATCAACAAAATTTTGGCTTGGGTTGGCTTGGTATTCGGTTATTTTTGGATTTTGAAAATTTTAATCGAATTTTTTTTTTTCAGTTAGATTTTAATTTAGTTTGGTTAAATTTTTAATTAATTCGGTTAAATTTGATGATATTGGTTAGTTCGGTTAATTTTTGTTCCGAGTAATTCGGTTCGGAATTATTATTTTTTAACCAAGTTAACAAAATACTGAATCAGTAATCAACTTTAAGAAAGAAAAATTACTGGGCTTAACCGAACGCGAAAGAAAAATAAAAAATTTCGGTCCAATTTGGGTTTTCTGTTTCGGTTCAGGTAAGAATCTCAGTCCTATGTGCAAGACTGTAAAAGCGCTTGTAATAAACCACAAGCTTTGATGAAAAGGTAAGTGAATTTATCTTAAACTCCTTTTTAACTTTGTACCTAAGAGCATCTTTATTGGGAGGATGCTTAAGGAGGTGCTTAGAGAAATGGGGTGCTTAATTTTGAAGAGAGAAAGTGTTGAAAGTGCTTAATTAAGCACTTTCAACACTCTCTCTCTTCAAAACTAAGCATTTCACTCCATTAATCACCTTCCCTAAGCATCCCAATAAACATGCTCTAATATCCCTTTTGTACTATTTATGATTGGGCATACCAAAGTGGGGTAAGGAAACACAAAGGTAGAGAGCTAAATAAGTTTATTTAGAATTAGTCAAAACTTAAAAGCAATCCTCTACTATGAATGATTTTTTGTGGGGTTGCATTTTTGTGAGTGAAGCATCTTTTTCAAACTATGCAGAGGAAACCAAAGACTTTCTCTCACTTACAAATATGTACATTAAGTCAAGGATCCAAAGCATACTTGTATATGTCTGTCTTATCTTAGTGTGTTGACATGTCCCTTGTGTCTTTAAACTTCATTTTCTCCATAGAGTGAAAGCAAAAGAAAAGATGGGCTTCTTCTGTCATCCACTTACCAAGATTTGCTGATTCATCCCACTCTTGGATTCTTGTTTTATTTATCTTCTTTGTACAACGAGACACTGTTATGGCTTCTTTGTCTGAAATCGTGGAGAAAGAGCTTGTAGCATCACCAAGAAGCAAGCTTTCAATAACAAGTGAAAGCAGTCTAGCTTCTGTAGCCTCCTTATCCATGCCCCTTGTTCGTAGTTACTCTTTAAACACTTAGAATGTTCAACTCGTGGGTTTTTGTTTTGTGGGTAATGATTTTGTTTTTTTATCAGATTCAGGAGATTGTTTTATCAGCAGACATCAAATGTAGTGACTGCCAAGAGAAAATCGCTGACATAATGTGGAGGATGATCGGTAAGAAGATAGTTTACTTGTGCAGGTGAAACATGTTTTGCTCCTTTCACTTAACAGAGTATTCCTCTGTTTTCTCTGTTTTTTTTTGAAAGCAGAAACATATTCGATAATGATGAGCGTGTTGGAGAAGGAAGTGACACTGACATGTACATATTCTGGTGACCGGAGAGTCTCCAAATCATATGGAGAAGCTCTTCTCTGCAAAATGTCCACCTTCAAGCGTAGGCTATTTCATTCTTCCAAGAAACAACAACTCAATGTTGCTTAGTTTCTGGTTTTTGTTAACATCCTCTTTTTAATAAACTCTTTGTTTAGATGCTTCTTGTAACAAATAACCTAACAAATAGAAAAAATATTTGAGGAATGAGAAAAATAAAAGAGATTATTGGGAAGTTAGATTGCCGCCACTTTGTTGCCAGAGATTGATGATGTCAGTTGCTTGATTAAGGAGAATGATCATCTTCTTCTGAGAGATCCATGGCTTAGTTTCAAGAGTAGACTTAAGCTCTTCCCATGCATCTTTTCTTGGCTAGAAGAAGTATGGACTAAGTGGGATTGTGCCATGTCGAGGAACATGCTGGTCCAATTCTTGCCTTCTCTTCTTGTTGTTTCACCACATAAACACAAACAACTAAGGTTTGTGGGTTTGTTTGAAACAGAACACACAAAAAAGAAGAGTGTTATTGTTATTTACTTGTTTTGGTTGTTGAGTGTCGGAAACATCAGTGACTGTTTCAGAAGTGAGTGTCTCTGGAGCTGCAAGAGCCATCATTTTTCTGTTTAGAAAGATAGGTTTTGTGGATGGTTGTGGAAAGATGGAGAAGAAGCTGTGACAGAGAGTTTTGGAAGTTGGGAGATAAAAGAAGAGCAGAGAGATGAGTGGAGTGCCACTGATGACATCATTTTCTTGCTTCTTCAGAGAGCAATGGAGATTTTTACGCAAACGATAAAGGAGAAGATATGGTTTCAAACTTACAGTGTAGCTCCAAAGTGGTTGATCATTGATATGAAATTATATGGGCCTTGTTGAATATGGCCCATTATTTTGTTTCAGAGTTAACAGAAATCTGTTACAAGCCCATGAAGATACATCAAAAGATCAAACAAAAATTGGGATGAATGACTAGTTTTAGTCAAAGACAATCTGTCTTTATTTCATAGTGATGGTTCTTAGGTAGATAAGAGTCATAAGACTGATCATGGTGTGTGTGTGATGGTGAATATAATCAATAGTTCATGAATCATGATGATGTTTTCAAGTGTTTAAGATAGTAACTAGTAAGCTTTTTTGTGTGAGATTCTTGATCGTATAGGAGTTTCTAACTGATCTCTAGTTATGTAGTGAATTGACTGTTTCACTTAGGCCGGACTGCGTTTGGGAGTGATGGGCATTCGGGTACATATTCAAGTTCGGTTTGGATTTTTGGTGCTTAAAGATTTAAGTTTTATTTGGATATTTATAAATTTCGGTTCGGGTTTGGTTTGGTTTGGGTGAGAAACTCATATATATTGTGTTTTTTTGTAATCCTAATTGTATTCTGAAATTACTTCCAATAATAAGATCATGTTAATTATTTGTATCAATTTATTTTTTGTCATTTATCTGTATCAATTTACTTATTACGTTTATTCATTTGTTTTCCGCGTTAAACTCTTGCATCACTATAACATGATGAACATAAACTCATGCTGCTTGGCTTGTTGGTGTCCATGCGTTGCCTTTGGACACATAGATTGTAGACTGAGCGATGTACATGATTTTATTGATGCTTATGGGATTCGGGGAGAGCAATCTTTACTCGTCTTTATAATGAACAAAACTCAAAGCTCAATACAATCTCAAGGAAAGACCTTGTTGTGATTGCTGCGTCCACTTTTGCACAAACGCACCTTCGACTTGTCCATTGAGTGGCTGCATCTGCGGTTCCTCCAACGATTAGTCACATATATCTTTTATAAAATATGTTATTTGTTTAGTTGTTTCGATCCGTGACTTAATCTGTACTCTTTCATAATTGAGACTCATATTGTGTGTTGAATATTTCTGGGAATAAATTAACATTCTCTGCGTATGCGTGTCAAAGTAGCAGCGTCCTCATTTTCGTTTCTAAGGAATCTCTCTTTTTCTACATGTCTAAGGAATCTCTTTAAAAGACAAAAGGAGCCAATATGGAATTTTCTCTTTTCTCTTTTTCTAAACTGCGTATTTTAGGACATCTATTACGTGTTAGGTGTAAACCGAAGACTCAAAAGGCATCACTAAAAAATTATAATTTGATAAAGTGGAGAGAATTGTATAATTCAGATGATTTACATTTAATAATCTATGCTGTTAAAACAGAAGTACAAAACACTTCTTACTTTTCTCTTAACTGATTACTTACATATTTTCTTCCATTTTAAACTAATTCTAACCAATTCATTTATTGTATTTTCCAAATTCAATATAATTTGGATATAATTATCTTTTCCAAATTCGATAAAACTGGGATATTATTTATTTTATAAGTTAAACATAACAATTCAACAAGTTTAAATGAAATTGTTCCATTCAAAACAAGAATTCGAGAACAAGAATTCGAAACGATTAACAATAAGTTTTGTAATCTATTTTATGAATCAATTAAAAATGGATATTAAAGTATCTGTTTGGATACAAATCCTTTATTTTATATATCTAGATTTGAATTTTAAATTAAACTTTGTTTGGTGTTAAGAAAAACCCACAAATATTCAAATAAACTAATATATAATTAGTTATATGGTGGCACATTTAAATATATAACTCTAATCACTAAAAATAAATATTTGTTTAGGAAAAACTAATATTCGCACAAACATACAAGTCAAGCTCCAGTTTCAGTTATTTCTACAGTTCTTTATGAAATCATTTCGAAGCTCATTTTATTTTCTCAATTTTGCTTTCATTACTCATCATTTTAATAATAAAAATCCTTCTAATACCGACCTCAAAACTAACTTAAGTAGTAGTTAGATTAAAGATTCTTTTTTCAAACATATGAACTTTAAGAACTTGGATCTTATTGCTGTTTTTTTGAGAAAATAACAACACTGTAAATTTAAAATATCTATTTCTTCCGTTTCATTTTATTTATCGTTCAAATTTATGCACACAGATTAAAAAAATATTTAATTTTTCATACTTTCAAAAACAAAAACATCATTTCCTATAACTATGTTTCAACCAATAAAAACATAATAATATATAAAATTAATAAAATTTGCACTGAAATCATAAAACGACGTTTATTTTAAAAACAAAAATTTTATTCTACAATAAAAATAAACAAAAACGAAAGGAGTATTTACTATTTAGTTATGTAAAAATATTTTGAAATTTGGTAATACGGAAGTCTTGTAAAGAAATAAATTAATAACAACGCATCAGACTGTATGAAAACTCTTTACAAAAGTTTCATAAAAAGAATTTGATTGCTACCATGTAGAATGATAATATCAAGTTTCATTATCAACTACCCCATTATTTTAAAAAATAGTTTAAAACTTTGGTGCGACAAATTGTGTAGTGTGGGTGGAAACGGAGAGCAGAACAGAAGTGAAGTCTATATTGTAATTGTGCTGTGAAACCTTCTTTATACGTGCCACGAAAGCAAACAAACATGAAAATGGGGTTTGTCCCACTTTTGTCAACACTATCAACCTCTTATTATATAGAATGTATATCCCACTTAAGCTCCTCTCCTACTTTTTTTGGTAAAAACTCCTCCTCCTCTCCTACTTGCCCACTCTTTGATTGGCTAACACATTTTAAACATCACCAATCAACTTTCACCACCCATACTTCAATCAACCTTTTTCATAATATTTTTAACAAATGTTTCCTCCGTTTCGCATTGATTGTCGTAGTAGAATTTAAATTTTATTTTAAATGTCATTTTATGTTTTCAATATATTTATTTGATTTTTTTTTCAATTTTACCCATGCTCCTATAGCTCATTAACCAAGTAAAACAAAAATCTAATGTATTAATTAGAGAGTAAAATCATAAATTTAATAATTTTAAAAAATTGTATGAAAAGATCTAAAGCGACAAATAAAGTTGTATGGAGGGATTACCATTCAGTTTCACCATCATGCATTCATTGTTGCACCATATATTGATATACCAGATTTTACCAGCTGTGCAGCAAGAAAAATCTCGCGTGTATATTAATGATGCTTATCGTACATACAAAAACTAAACCATTAGTTATAGACTTAACATTCTAAAGATGTTTCCTTACGACTTACGTACATAATAAAATTAATAAAAAGATAGGTGCATGAACAATGAAGACAAAAGTGGGCGGTATCTTTTTGGTAAGTGCATTTTGACAAAACCATTCAACCAATCCCATACTTCTTCTGACTCTATGCCGTTGAAAAATGGAAGACTATCGCCCACCACCACAATGTTTGATCTACACGTGCCACACGTTCATCTTTCCAATTATTATCATATACAAATTATCTCACGAGTGAATGGAAAATTTTAACAGAAATAATAGTGCATACCACTATAGTCCATCGACTAGCTTACAAAGAAATATTCACGTTGAACATTTCCCTTCCACACCCATTGGATAAGACCATCTTTTTTAAGTCTACTCACACGCGTTTCTATTATATCAGCAGTGACGAATTCTGAATTTAACTACATGCATTCTACTAAAACAAGAACAACATAGATAAGTATATTTTAAAATAGGTCATAGGTCCCTCTAATCTTCAGATTAGAGTATTTTTGTTGTTGACTGTCAAATTATTAAATCAAAGAAAATCACGTGGTACCACCGGTCCTAAACATTAACTTCAGTATCTATACAAAGAGAATCATATTTTTATAGCTACCATAATAAATAACAAAGAGAGTAGTAGAAGTAGTAGCCCACAAAAATTTAATTTAGTTTCAATTATTGGTACTATTTTAGTGAAGAAGTAAAGTTGGAACTGTTCTCAACCTTACCAGTCTCAATCACCCTCCATTATACATCCTCCTCCTATATAAGAAAACTCCAAACATATCAAATCTCCAAACTCTATTAAAAGCTCTTCTTTCTTTTCTATAAACAATCTACTAAAAGCTCTATTGTTGCCACAAAACTGCACAAATCATACTTGAAATTAAAAACACAATGGGAGCAACCACAGTGACCCATGTGACGACCATTAACCCTAGTAACACCAACATTCATGGACCGGTCATAGACGAAGTGGAAGGTCTTATACGAGTTTACAAAGATGGCCACGTGGAACGATACCAACTCGTGCCATGTGTGGGTCCGTCACTACCCCTAGAGCTCGGTGTGTCTTGCTCTGATGTTCACATAGACAAGTTGACCAACGTTTGGGCACGTCTCTATGTCCCAACGTTGACCAAGTCTTCACCGGTCTCTAGCCCTAACCTCCCTTTGCTTGTCTATTTCCACGGTGGAGGCTTCTGCGTCGGCTCGGGTTCTTGGTCGTGTTACCACGAGTTCTTGGCAAGATTGTCCGCTAGCTCACGGTGCATAATCATGTCTGTAAATTACCGTTTAGCCCCTGAGAATCCTCTCCCGGCAGCTTATGAAGATGGAGTCAATGCCATTCTTTGGATCAAGAAAACAAGAAACGATAACTTGTGGTCCACGCTATGTGACTTTACCAAGATATTCTTGGCCGGAGACAGCGCCGGAGGCAACATCGCCCACCATGTCGCGGCGAGGTTAGCCGCAGCCGCCGACGCGCTTATACATCCGTTGAAGATAGAAGGAACAATCTTGATCCAGCCTTTCTTCGGCGGGGAGGCGCGTACGGAGAGTGAGAGGCGCGTGGAGAATAATATGAAGGGCTCGGTGTTGACACTTGCGGCCTCAGACGCGTGGTGGAGGATGGCTCTGCCACGTGACGCGAACAGAGAGCATCCGTATTGTAAACCGGTGGAGATCAAGAAGAGGACGCTGGTGTGCGTGGCGGAGATGGATGTGCTGATGGATAGAGAGATGGAGATGTGTGATGGTAATGAGGAAATGATCAAGCGCGTGGTGTACAGAGGCGTTGGTCATGCGTTTCAGATTCTTGGAAAGTCTCAGCTTGCTCATGTGATGACTGTTGAGATGTTGTGCCACATCGACGCTTTCATACACCAATGTGATTCTTCTGTTTAGTTATGTATTTTCCATAAATATTCTTTTGTGGTGGCTCTTATATGTGTATATCTTCAATTCTAAATTGCTTTTGTGTTAGAAAGTTGACAAAAAAAAAATTTGCTTTCGTGTTCGGTGAGATGTAGGTTACAGGAATTAATATGCATTTCGGTTTGGATTTTTTGGTTTATTAAGAAAACGAATTTCATCGAAGTTCCTAACATTTTGCAAGAACTCATGGAGATATTCTCTACTGAAAAGTAATAGACAAACTAAAATGAAGAATTTAGAACTCATGAGATATTCTCTACACATTTACCGACCATTTATTAACTTAAAAATAATTTATTTAAAAAAAAATAAAATTGAATATGTAATAAAATGTATATACAATAATATTTTATGTTTTAGATACTATTTTGAATATTCGAGCATTGAAAAAGTTACACTAATTAAAGAGCAAGGTCGGTTTTGAGCCAAACCTAATGAAACATTTATTTTAGTCTCTTAAATTTTTCGAAAAAATTTACAATGATAAAAATTCCCAACTTTTTTTTAAAGCTACCAAATTTATAAAAAAAAATTATTATTTTATAAATTTTTTTTGATCCCCTTAAATTTCAAAATCGTCCGTATTAATGAGATCTCTTAACTAAACTTATAAAACAATGTCTACCCCTTAGAGCATCCCCATTAAAAGATCTAAGGGAGGGTTCACACGTGTTCCGAGAGGAACAGTGATAAACTCGGCGCGCGTGGATTCGTTGTGGTGAACCCGGTTCGTCACGGACAGAACAATTGTGGGGATGCTCTTAGAAGTAAAGGACAGAACAATTGTGCATGGTGGCGGACAAATGGTAGACAAAAGCCTAGTTCATGGTTGGTTTTGAAGGCAACCTCATTTTTTCTTCTTTCTCCCATTATTACTATCTATGAATTTTGAAAAATCGGCGTATTTCTACGACACAAACGTTGACCATTTCAATTTGTGTTTCCAGTTTTTGTCTCTTGATATAATTCAAAAGCTGAAATAGTTTGTGAGTCATATGTGTTTATAAATATCTATACATTTTGAAGTAAACCAAAATGAGGAAACTATTCAGAAAAAAATCAGTCCAAGTATGAATAGTTTTCCAGTAAACATTAGGGCTGGGAAAAATATTGGATCCAAAGAACAGAACCAGACTCAATGAAAAATAGTATTTAAATCCGAAGCAAAACTAATTAAAGATACCAATAGACTTTCTTTTTCTCAACATATTTCAATAAATCTAAAATTTTAATATCTAAAGAACAGAACCAAACAAAATCCTAATTGTTCCGAATCAAAATCTAAAGCTTTTGGACACTCAAAATTCTCTCAATCAAAATTAATATTAAAATATATTAATTATTTTAATTTCAATATATTTTTATCTAAAATTACTAAAAATAGTCACAACTAAATATCTGAAAATAGCCAAAGTGTTCAAAATGTTTGGAATGACTACTTGTTAGTCACCCAAATATCCAAATCAACCCGATTTTATATTAGTTTTAGATTTTAGTCTTACATTATTTTAATTTATATGTTGTATATTTTATTATGAAATTTTGAAGATTTTAAGATATATTTAGTTTTCTTACTCTAATTGAATATGTAGTAACCTAAACCGCACATGTACCAAAAAATATAAATATCTAATGAGATTTAAATCTTTAGTCTCAAAGACTTAAAAGGTGAATAGATCCTAACCAAATTTAAATAGGTATCCATACGTCCACCTTAGTACTCATGTTTAACAAATTATTTATTTAATCTTTATTTCTTTCTAAGTGATATTTTGAAAATTTGTTTTCTAAAACTGTTTAAATAAAACAAGTTGGATTTGGAAACTGATAAAATACATAATTTATCAGGTTTTATGTGTTAGAGCTTGTGATCAAATTTTTTAAGTTTTGACATTTGGCTTATGGCTTTACCTATTGTTTACTCTATTTCCTAGTTTTCTAATAAAAATTCAGAATATTTTCATAATGCTCTTTCTTGTTTTATTTCATTTTCCACACAAAAATATTTTTCTTTAGATGATTAAGGAATTTGAATCCACAAAATGTTACATACAATGAATAATTGCAAGACGCCTAAGCTAATAAATAAAGCAACTACTTCCGAAAATCCCATGGGGTTCCTTTGAGATGAAATACACCGGAATACATAGGTTGAGAGCAAAATAAGAATAAAACCAAATGCTGACGCATATCAAAAGATTCATGACGAAGAAACTTGGAAGTCTTCGTTTATAATATATTACGATCGAGACTTGTTTAATTTTCGATGAACAATCCGTAGTTGACTTTATGAATTTCAAATTGGGTATATATTATGTCCAGTGGATGAGTGGAAGATACGTTGACCTAAACGAGTCTCGGAAGAATTATCTCCTTCTGCTAGTAACCAGAAAAAGCGGTGCCAACATTAGTGGGGCTGAAAGTGATAAAAATAGAAAATCCTAGATCATATTAGAAACATCTATAATATAAATACCATCATTGTTAACGTGAGCGAGCAAAAAGAAAAGCATATATTTGGTTTGTCATCTAATGGCATAGAGCATAGGAGAGCATAAGTTTACCCTGATTTTATCTCTCTTTTTTTTTGCGTTTTGTGCTTAAGCAGCCCATGTTTTACTTACAAAGCTATTAATGAAGCCACGTTTTTAATGTGTTCTTTAGGGTTAACTGACTCAAACTAATAATACAAGAAATCCTCCTAATTTTCCAAAAAGACTTTGATGCCGTAGGCCCTGCCGGGATCGTTACTATTATATTGTGCTGTAATCAATATTGTATATTTGTATGTATATTTACCTAATTTTGGTTTAAACTTCTAACTTGAGCCTAATTTGGATATACGTCAGCATTTTGTTATTCTCAGGGGCTAAACGTATATTCTCCAAAAAAATAAGAGGGTGTTATTGGTTAATGTATTTTGAGTGATTTAGAAATCTGTATAGAATTTATAAATCTTAGCAAAATATACTGATTTTCAAATCTAATATGTGAATTTTAATAAGTACTTACAAATCCGAGAGTTTTCCTTCGGATTTTAATCTTTGTATTTTTAACAAAGAAATCCACACAAATCCACCCAAATTCATTATAACATCAAATCCATTAATGAATCCGTATAATTGAATAACACTTGATTTGAATTAGAATTTATAAATCATGGAACCAATAACACTTAATTTTAACTTGGATTTTAAAATCATGGAACCAATAACACTAAATTTATTTAGATTTATAAATCTATTAAAATACATAAACCAATAACACCCACTAAGTGTTGTAATCAATATTGTATGTGTATTTACCTAATTTTGGTTTAAACTTGTAACCTGAGCCTAATTTCTCTAAAAAAATATTTCAAAATAAAGTTTTATGTATTACTTGATAATGATAAATTTTAATTTCCAAAAAAATATTGAGTTGCTATTGGTTTGAAGTTATTGAAAATTTTTAATCAAATAAAATAATGTATTTTTTTTGCTAAAAAAAAGAAGAAAACAATGTGTTTAGAATTAAATATTAATCTGCTTTTAATATGTGTAAAAAAAGAAAAAAAAATCAGATGAAATACTAAGAGCATCTCCAAGAAAGAACCTCATTTAAAAAATAAAGAATCTTAAAATGAAGATTTGAGGGTGTATTACTTCAAGAAAAAAACTCAAATGAATCTATCTTAATTTTTTTATATTATTTGCATTTTAGTCCCTAATAATCATTAAAGATAATACTACACTTTACAAAAATTAAACATAATATTTATAAATACAATTTATATTAAAAAATACATAACATAATAATAGAAAACACACATTAATTCATAAAAAATAAATTATAGATTTTATGTATTAATTATATATAAGAGATATATTTGAATATTTCAGACAAATATATTTATAAAATATAATTATAAAGAGTAAAAAGATAAGAAAATTAATACAAATACAATTATATATAAAATATAAAAATATTAACACTAAACTGAAAAATAAATAGTGTTTTGAAAGCATGAACAGTAAACCTTCAAATTTGAGGTTTCACTATTTACATCCTCAAAATTTGAAGATTTGAAAGTTTTTTGGAGAGTCAAAAACCTCAAAATTTGAAGGTTTGAATGTCTCTTTGAGATGCGGTAAACACTTTATCAGAAGCGACCTGACATTAAAACGCAATCTTCATCATATTCATAATTGAGAGAAACCTAGCTAAGCCCATTCACTAAGGCCTGAAGACAAAACAATCTAAGGTTTTGTATGTACACATTCTCCCAGAGCAAAAGGCCTCATCTATTTCCACCACATTTCACTAAGATGGAAATTGATACTGTCGATAGCTTCAAAAGTTGCTTGTTCGACGCGTTCCCAAGCCAGTCTAGTCCTAAAGAAACACATTTGTCTTTGGTATTTGAGTTCAAAATACTCTTCAAGTTCAACTCAACAAACGATCTACAAAAGCAAGGTTCATTGCATATAATACTAGTAACAGTCTAGTACCAAGTTTCTGATTTCTATATATACATTACACAACTTTTTTTTTAACTAAATAGAAAATCCAGGGATGTGGAAAAATCTATAACGAATTTTAATTAGTATATTCAGCAGCCTCCACCGTCAGGTTCAACGGAACTAAGAAGACCGTTACCACGCAGCTGCATACAGTGTTGCTCTGCATCGCCCTGAGCACAGACGATGACAACAGCCAAACCGTTGATGTGGGCTTCTTGCATAATGTTAACAGCGTTGTCTACAGTCATGCCTGGTATCACCTTCATCAGGACCTGAACCACGTATTCCCTCTTGTTGAAGTTGTCGTTGTGTAGTATCACCCTGTAAGGTGGAGCCATCTTCTTTGATTTCCTGAACCAGACCCCATGTAATGAATAAACATAATAAGCACTACTAAACTATATATGGTGGGCATATACCTTAAATCGAATTCGGATTCACGACCAGGAGTGGTTTTCTCTATAATCGGTTTGTCCAAGACACCACCTCCTTTACTCAATGTGGATGTAGACATGGTCATGAGAACTCCACGGTTATTCACACATGGTCCTTTTGAGAGAGAGTGTTTGTCCCCTGCACATATCAAGTAAGAGATAGAGATATCCTCTGTTATTACAAGACATCCATGAAAACTAAATGACAGAAAAAAAAAAAAAAAAGCAAAACAAAAGACAATAGACGAAGAAAAGATGACCGAAACATAATTTCGAAATCAATAGTGCAATAAAGAACCACATTTTGTAGCAATTATCTAAACAAAAAAAAAACTCATTCCTTAACGCCTTAGAATATATATATACCATACAAAAATACACTAGATAACATTCATAAGACTAAATAAACCAAATAGGTGAAAAACCAAACCACAAGTACAAAAGCAACAACTACAAAAGTCTAATTCTTTTATAAAGGGTATATTCAGAAACATCATAACAATTGTACATCTTTTAGAATCTAACTTCTATTACCTTCAATGAACACCACAGACAAAAAGCTAATTTTTGTCTTATGTTGTCTTAAACCCCAATTTTTTTTTCCCGAAAATTGGACTCGAAAACTTATAATTACCACTTTGGTACATGTAAAGATACATAATTTATTACAACTAATCAAAAGGTTTAAACTTTCAGAAAACTGCTCTGATGATAAGACTAAAAGTGATGTTTGTTGACGATAAGTAACGAGAGATAGAGAAGGAGACCTGATATAGAATTGAAGAGGGAGCTTGGTGCGAGAGCTAATCTCCCACATATCGCACTCTCCATCCCTTCTTCTCCTCCTTCGTCTCGATGGCAGCTTTCTCACTTCTCCAAGTACAGAGATAATCAGGACCGAACAATTTTCATCACGAATAAAAGAAAAATAAAAAAAAAAAGAAAATTGAGAAATTCGTGGTTACGGAGTTTCTGAATCAAAACGCTGCGTTTAGGGGTTAACTGCTTTGGTTTTCTACGTTTTTTTTAATCTCAAACCGTTTTTGTCTGATCTCCGGTTTACCGTACCAAATGATTTCCTGTGGTATAGTTTTCCGGTTTACTGGCTCTAGGATAGGATCCTCGTTTCAGTTATGCATGCGCTTGCCTAAGTTGCATTCATCATGATCCATAATTCCATATATCTTCATTTCATTTGCTGTTTGATTCTTGAGTTTATGTAATACGATACACAAATTTTCTCCCAAAACGGATAGATAGTTTCTCTCTTTGGAAATGATGAGAGTTCTCATCTATTTACAATGAAGTCAAATGAATCAGAAACAGCATAATAAGATGCGCATCTTTGTTGGAATACACTGTACACCTCTTAAAGTTCTAACTAAATTCCAAATCTTTTTTTTTTGTCTGACCCTCCGGTTCACCAAACTATGTTATTTCTTTTGACCATTGCGGTATAGCTTTCAGGTATAGTGCTCTAGGAATGGATACTGTAGTTTTTGATGAATCCTCGTTTTAGTTATATCTATACTATTAAAGCTGAAGTACAAAAAAATAGTGTTTGGAAACATGAATAGGTATTTAAAATTATAATGATTAGAAACAAGGATAGCCTACAAATCTAATGGGTTTATTTATTAAACTAAAGATTATTGCGACCCAAAGTATCATTATTATTGTTTTTGGGTTTCTATCATTGATATTACTTTATTTCTGAAAATTATTTATACATATATGTATTCATGTTTTAAATGTATTTAAAATAAATCAAGAATAATGTATATTTTATTTATATAATTTATATTGACTATTGTTATGAATTTTTAACAATGATATACTAGCCCTTCAATTCTTCATGAAAAAGTTAATTTAAAAATTTGAATAAATTGTTTAATGTATATAATTTTACACCAAATTTAGCAAAAACAAATTTTATAAACTATTAATAAAATGTTTACGTGTCATAATATTTTACGATGCCCCTGTTACACAAAACAGTGATGAAATACAATGTTTAAATAATGTACTATTACTTAGTCAAATTGGAACCATTAGATTGTAATTTTTGAAATGTTTATATATACCATAAAAACAAATACCCGCCCAGTCGGGCGGGTTATGATCTAGTTACTCTTAAAGATCCATGTTCTAAAAAATATTTTGTTTCAAAAATATGTATATTTTTAAAAAAAATAATTGGTTTTATTAGATTACTATTGGCTAAAAGTTGTTGAAAATTGAAAATTACTGAAAACGATAATGATTTAATATGTTTTATAAATATGTATAAAAACACTAGAAAATATATCTTTTAGAAACAAATGGAGTATAAGTGAGAAAGCAACTTGCCTTCATGATCCCTATGTCTTCATTTGTTGTCTGATTCTTGAGTTTGTGTCTGTTAAATGCTAGCACCTTCCTTGTTCATGGCCATACTGATGAATTCGTATTGATTATATTGTTTGATTGTGATGACTGATAAAGAAACTATTATGAGCTCATGTGCAAGTGTTTGAGATTTATTTTACCAACAAATAATTATCAGTATGTGTTACAAAATTATGGAGCCAAGGCCGTTTAAACTTTAGTATATGTCCCTCACACCTCCCTCCACAGTGAAAGAACCAATAATTGAATTTATACAATTATCTTGATTCCATTATCTTGATTCATATGGAAAAATTACACAATAATTGAATTTATACCAATAATGTTACCATATACAGTTTCGTCTATTTCAAAAATCGAAACCTATCAAGGAATGGAGTCGTTCGTCTATATGAACGAAGCAATTAATAGGAAAAGAAATCTTAAAAGATAACCAACAAAATAAGCTAATAATGACAAAAGTAAATCTGGTTGCAATCAAAATTGAATAAGAATTCGTCACGTGGGCACGCACTATAGAAGCGCGTGAACATTGGTAAACTGAAAATGGCTCTTTGGGAGAACCAAAGGTCGGAAATAAATAAAAATAGACTTATAATCAAAATCCTACGCGGCGTGGGGGCAAGACTGTGAGTCTCACGCTTCTTCACTAAGATTCTTCTTTTTTAAAAATTTTATCTTTGTTTTCTCGTGATTCTTGTTTTTCTCCATAACTCCTCAAAGAATATTCCTTTCACCAAATTAGCTCATTCTCCATTTCACCTTTTGCGTACTAAAATATCTAAACAAATAACGTAATTAGCTGGTGAGATTATCAAGGGGAATCTGGACTATTTACACTATTTTAGTCCAATAATTATTATTGATTAGGTAGATAACTTTTTCTTGAGGTTAGTATTTGTTAGAATGACAGTACAAATTCATAAACAAATAATTTTTGGTTTCATACATGTATTTTCTATAATCAGAAATTATACATTCGTTCAGTCTTCTCAATTTGTTTGTGTGTATGCGTACTTATCAACTTTTGTAATCAGAATATAGTTGCAATTTTACCTCTATTTTATTTTTCAGAAAACAAAATTGTAGAATCTGGTTATTTTAGGGCATGAGCTCCATATGTATCTACAAATGTGTTTGCATTAAAACTCTGGATTTTATTGTTCTGGAAAGCTAACATCATTTCCAGAGAAATGTAAAATGAATATCTTTTAACATATTTTGATTAATCATTAAAATTCTAATATTTTAAAAATAAATCACTTGAAAACACCTTCTAGATTTTATTTAAGCAACAGTTTCTTTATCTTTTAACTATCTACTTTTCTCGAGCAAAAACTATTTCAAATTTGTTTTATTAGATTAGATATCCAGCAAGAATCTAATGTGCTATAAATTTCCAAATACGAGTCTTAAATTTAGAAAATGTTGTAAGTCTTGAAGAGACAGACATATATATAAGTATCAAGAGTATGCAATGTCGAGTCTTCGTTCTTATCTAAAACGAAAACAGCTTTAAAGAGATTGAGAATAGTGACGTCAGCTTTTTCCAGCTAAATCCAGATACGACCAAACCCGAATCTGATCCCTCGAATATTCACACAACACCAAGCCCCACACTTCCTTCAAATTTACATCTCTACCCTTAATAAAAATTCCAAAATACAATTAAAACCCTCAGAGATTCGTTTTAGTAAGTACGCGACGCCCCGACCTCGAACCATTTTTCCTACATTCATGTCCTAAAAACTCTCTCTCTCTCTCTCTTGAGAATTTTCTCTCGACGTTTATTCCTCCCTGATTCCATTTAGATCCAATATTCTTTTTTTTCCTTTTCAAACCCAAGCTTCACCACTTCTCTATAGATCTAAAACCATTTACTTCTTTTACTAACATATCATCATCATCAGAAGATTTTGATTATAATATAAGTTGAGAAAAAATGGAGAATGATTACGCCCAGAAAATGCAGAGATGTCATGAATACGTTGAAGCACTTGAAGTAGAACAACAGAAGATTCAAGCCTTTCAAAGAGAGCTTCCTTTATGTTTAGAGCTTGTCACACAAGGTAAATTAACACAAGACATTTATTTAAAACTCTGCCTCCATATATTAATCTATTTTTGGGTTTCGATAGCTATAGAGGCGTGTAAGAAGGAGCTGTCTAGTACTTCGACAACCTCAGAGCAGTGTTCAGAGCAGACAACTAGTGTCTCTGGTGGTCCTGTCTTAGAAGAGTTTATTCCGACCAAGAAGGTTGAAGAAAACGAGGAGCATGAATCTCCAACACGTGAAGAGATCGGTAATAACGTCAAGAAATCAGATTGGCTCAGATCTGTTCAGTTATGGAATCCGTCTCCGGACACGAACACGAACACTGTGTCTAATCCTGAACGTGTTGTTGGTAAGAAGGCGAAAGTGGTTGAGGTGAAACCAAACAGCAACAACAACTGCGGCGCGTTTCAGCCGTTTCAGAGGGAGAAAAAACGTGTTTTCACCGAGCCGGCGGCGGCGGTTTCAGCTCCGGCGGTGAGAGTGGTCGCTTCGGCGCCGGAGACGACGACTAGTTCGACGACGGAGAGATGTGGTGGGGAGAAAGGGAGAGAGGAGGAGCATATGCATCAGCAAGGGTCGCAAAGGGGTAGAAAGCAAAGGCGGTGTTGGTCGCCGGAGTTACACCGGAGATTTCTTCACGCGCTTCAGCAGCTTGGAGGATCACATGGTAAAGGGATTTAAATTATATGACCGATGGTTATCTCTTTTCTGATTGGTTGGTTCATTATTAGTTGGTGACTACATTAATAAAGTAATTAGTTGTTTTATTTGGATTAATTTTGCAGTTGCGACACCGAAACAGATTAGGGATCATATGAAAGTGGATGGATTAACAAATGACGAAGTTAAAAGCCATTTACAGGTGACTACTAATCTTTTTTTTTTCTAGATTTTATTTGAAGTCTTTTTAAACATTTATTGGTGATTAATATTTTCAATTACTATTTTGTGGAATAATCAGAAATATAGACTTCACACAAGAAGGCCAGCCACGGCGCAGGGTAACGGAAACTCGCAACAACCGCAGTTTGTGGTGGTCGGAGGGATATGGGTGCCGTCGCCACAAGATTTACCTCCACCGTCAGATGTAGCCAATAACGGTGGCGGTATATATGCTCCCGTGACAGCGCAACCACCACAACCACAACCACTGCAATCTCCTAAGCGTTCGGGGGAGAGAAGTAGCGGCCGGTGTAACTCGCAAGCGGCATCTTCTTCTACAAACACGACAACTTCTTCTCCTGTGTCATAGTGTGTGTTTGATGCAAGTGAGTGTAAGATTTGTAACCAAAGAATGTTCTTTCATAAGTGTGTACAACGAGATAAGCAAAGAGTCTTTGTTTTCCATCTTTTGGATATTCGCTTGTTTTTTTTCTTTGTGTTCAAGTTTTGACAGGTTTTGGTGGTGGTATATACTTTATAAGATTGTAAGAATAATACATGAAATAATTTTGTTAATTAGTTATCAGGCTTATCCATTTTATTCACTTGTATATTTGCATTTGTGTGAAGACGCTACAACTATTATAGAAACTTTCCCTTGAGAAGGATCAGAATATAATCGGAAGGTTAATCATTATCACTATGGGTAAGCTGGCAAGCTGCACGTTCCTTAAACAGTTATGGTATTCTGCAAAAGGTTAATGAAAGATCTAAGATGAATGAGAATCACGTGTGTGATGAGGATGTATAGCTATTTGGTGTGACAATTAGATGTTCTTTATTAATATGGTAACGCTTGATGAAAGAAGGCACGTAAAACGTGGCAGGCTATGAATCAATTATTCATTGACGAAACCAAACCATAGTTCACAGGATAATCAAATCTATCTTTTGCATGGCAATTTATATAGTCATTGTTTAAATAATTCTAACGTGGTCCTGCTCTGGATCCTAGTTGATAATTGATAGTAAACCTTAAATCATATGAATATTATAATATCCATTTTTTTCTTACAAACCCTGTGTTAAAAGAGTCAACAAGTTCTTGGGTTGGCTTTTTGGGTTGCCTATATGGGTTTGTTTTGAGGTCCTAGAATACTTTTTTTTTTTTTTGTCAATGATGAAAATTCTGGATATACAAATACCAAGAGAGTGGTTGTTTCCATAACCATTTTGCAAGATTAAATAATAGAGTAATTGCACTAGATAACCACGGAACAAATATAAATGGGGTAACTGACCACAACCTTTAAGTATTTAGCTGAGTAACGATCGCAGGGAGGTTGCAATGTCGAAACTATCCTTATCGGCTCTCCTCATTGACCTACGATATACTGACAGAAGGTAGGTTTATAGGGTCTGTGTCATGTGAGGTCGAGTTACATCATGTCGGCATGTTGTCGATTAAAGTTACGCAGTTTTGGCAAATATCCTTCTTGTTTCTATTTATAAAAACATTTCAATACATTACCCAACTCACACTACTTTTCATCCAACTATGGAATTGAGGGTCAATTACATGTCAACATACCGATTTTTTTCAAACTAATTTACATAGACAGATTGCCAAAATTAAAAGTCATTTAGGTTGAACTAGTTAGCTTAGGGAATTTTTGAAATTCATATATTGTTGACATTAAGTTCAAACATTAGTAGCAGACGTAGATTACAGATGATTAGGACATAAGCAGATTACATATAGCTACACAGAGTCAACACATGTACTCCGTGATCTTAATCCTTCAGCATGAAAACGATTATTGCTGTAGCAAATATAACCAATCCCCAGGTTATCCCAAACATCTGAAGGATGCCTTTCTTAACATGTTCAATTCCCTCGACCACCATATTGACATTGGCATCCATCCCCCTGTCCCCGCAACTTGCTTCAGATGAACGATATCGGTTCAGATCTCCTGTTGCTTCGGTCAACGAAGTTCTTAAAGCTTCTATCTCCCTTTTGTTGCGGCGAATCTGATCCCGTGCCTCTAATAAACTTATTTTCTGCCATTCTGTTGGATTCTTTGTGTCAGCCCAGCAAACGAAACCATGCACATCGCATCGATGGAATCTCCTGCCGGGATTATCATCGGACCAAGAAATCGTAACACCGGTTGGTCTTGTACAACGACAAGGTGGTCCGACAACGTTTTTCTTCACGTGTTTTGATGCAGACGAAGATGCCGTGTGTGAGCTACTCATTTTTTTTTGCAGATGAACTGTGTCGCGGAGGAACGAATTACTTACATGAGGAACAAGTTTATAGAACAAGATCCGACTTAATTGTCAACTGGAAACAGTCACGCTAACTGACAAGACCTTTTTTTAGATTTTGTAAACATGTACACGTGTCAATCATCGGTATAGTATACTGGAGTTGGAGAAAATATCTTCATGGTTTATGCAAACCAAAGTCGATTTCTAGCTTACCAATCTAATTAAACCCCTAGACCGATCGGAACCGAGTTGTTTCTGTAACCGTAAACCCTATTTTTTTCAGTTTCCACGGCGAATTGGAGGGAAACATTGTGTGAAAATAATTAAAAATTGAGATATTTTTCAAAGTAAACGTCGTGTCCTACGACACCACTTGACGGCTATGATGCTATAGGCTTCAGACTATGTAATGATGTTAAGTGAGCTGGATTCACATCTTCTTCATATTGGTGTATCTATCGCCGGTTTCATTCTTCACATCCCGCTATAAATCGACACTCCCTGCAACCACTTTTGGAAGCAAAAAAAAATATTTTCCGTCTCTTACATTTGCTACCCGGGAGTCTGAAGAATCTCTCCTGAAAAGGTAACATTTGTTTTTACTCGATTCAACTTAAACCTGTCGGTCTATTTTTGGGTCGTGAGTTACTTTTCAGAACCCTAATTTTAGTTATCATCGTAGATTACTTTTTCGATCTTGATTACGTTTTGTTTTGCGTTTACTCTTTTACTATATCATTTATAAATTTCCTAACCAGATGGGTAAGATTTTGCATCTCGAGCAAGGCGTCTGGATAAAATCCGATTCTGCCATCTGGAGCTTCAAGAACAGTGCCGATTACTATGGCGAGGCGATTCTTGTCCGTGAGAACGAGACTTTTGAAGACCTGAAAACCATCGTTCGGGTGAGGCTGGAGTTGGGACCTGATACCCCTCTCGCGTTAACTTACCTGTTCCCTCACTGGATGATGGTACCCAACGGCCCCAGGCCTCAACCTGTGAACATACTCGAGACGAGAGATGTTGAGGTTATGATGAGTATCCGTGAGTTTGACGAGGTTTTTGTGCTTTATGTCATATCTGGGGCTGAGGATGTTGCTCGATACCAGTTCCATTGTAGAACACCGTTTACCCTTGGGAACACTTCTTTTCTCGGTGAGGGGGTATCTGAGAGTGCTCATCGTCGGTTTATTAGAGGTTAACCCTTTGTTTCCCTCCTTCTCACTTTTACGTTGATAAAAACACATCAGCTGTCTTACATTTTTTTACTAAAAAATGGCAGAACTTTCTGGAAATCGTCCAATCAGCTGCGCGACCAGGATGCTTGAACTCTTGTGTGATCAACAACAGCTGCTTGGCATGTACCGTCTATCGTTGGAGATTGAGCTTGCTCTATCTGTTCCTCTCCCGAACGAGGACACTGACATGTCACTACTTAATCAGACGATTTCCCTGGATGGAAATCTACCTAACATTGATTACGTGCTCAACCCCACCGTCCATAACATCCCTAACCCACCTCCTGACAATGGTAAAAAGTCTAAAACGATAGACACATCAATATTTATTTAGAACCTAATTTGTTTTTCGTAGTCCTTGATGCAGTGCCCTTAAACCCTATTTCCCCTGATCACTCATCCGACATATTTCGCGGTGCGAGCTTGGATGTAGAGAGAGGTCGCGCCATAAGGCTCTCCGGCCGTGTTTCAGCGGACACTTCTGATGACGCTAACAACTGGGAAGGACTCTATGAAGATTTCCCTGCTCGCATATCCCCTTTCGTCATCTCGGGCCGTCCCACTCATGTTGGTCCTCCACTTGCTCGTAGCACAAAACAAATTGAAGCTTCTCATAACATTTCTACTCCTGAATCTGGAGGTAAAGCAGTTGTTGATTCCTTCTCTGACTCATCAGATGAGATGCATGTCGTAATCAGTGGCCAAGGTATGTGCCTAAAATTTTTTAACGATATTTGTATCCGTCTAATACTTCTTTAGATAGGTAAATAGCACAAAGAACCGGATAATATTAGGTATTGTATCCGTCAAATAATTCTTCACATAGGTAAATAGCCCAATGATCTCCTAGGATTATCAACCCCCGTTGATAATTGTGTGTTTTATTTAGATGTTCGAAATCTTTTACTTCCATTTTTGAAGTTTATTTTGATCCTCATATCCCTTTTCTGCTATTGTTTGATTAATAGGGCTTACATCCGGAAAACATGATGCAATACCCACACCTATGAAGGATATATCCGGTAAAAGATTCGAAGAAGTGTCTGTCAGTGCTAATGAAGCCCCTTCTCTCGACTTAAGCTTAGGCCTTGCTGGAAATCAGGGGAAAGTCAGCGGCCCTTCTGTGGTTGTAATCGAGGATTCTTCCTCTGAGGTTGATGGAACAACTGGTGCGTTTGGACTGAAGCCTTAGAGACACAAAATTGTCCAATCCTTTATGTTTTTTCTAAAACGGAATGTGTTTGATAACCCCGGTGTTCTCCTTTTTTGTGTTTTGATGTTAACCGGATATCTCCTGTTTGCGTATGTAGCAAGATAACAATTTCGGCATAATGTATTGTGAAATATTTTGGTATTTTAAGATGCATGTGTTATATAACCTTTCGTGTTATTTTAATAAATGTTTAATATTATGTCTACCTATTCAATGTAGGGCACCAAAACCACAATGCAGCCGAATTATTTGTTGGCATGACTTTCACGTCAAGGGATGCATTCAGACACCATATTGCAATCCATGCAATTACAAATAAGTTCAGGTTTCGTATCACTCGGTCGGCACCAGAGGGGATGCTGCTCAAATGCTACAGCCCGACTTGTAAATGGCGTGTATACGCAGTTCGTCTAAAGAATGTTGAAATTTATGAAATACGTCGCCTGGAGAAACAACACACATGCACCGTCGATGACCGTGCCGGTAAGTTTTTTTTTCTAGGCACACAATAATAGCACCAAATCCCTCAATTGTCTAAGTTTATAACTCTTATTATCGTACAAATAATCCAATCTAACACTCCATTTCATAGATATTTCATTTGTTATTATTTTCAGGTTATCAAAATCAGGCAACCCACAC